ATTTTGTTGAAGATATTTACTGGCCCTTTAAGTTGGGAATCTTCATTCTCATCTATACCTATTATCCTTAGGTTTGGTCTTCTCATTGTGTCCTGGATTTCCTGGATGTTTTGAGTTAGGAGTTTTTTGCAATTTGCATTTTCTTTGACAACTGTGTCAATATTTTCTACTGTATCTTCTGCATTTGAGATTCTCTCTTCTATCTCTTGTATTCGGTTGGTGATGCTTGCGTCTATGACTCCTGATTTCTTTCTTAAGTTTTCTATTTCCATGGTTGTCTCCCTTTGAGCTTTCTTTATTGTTTCTATTTCCAGTTTCAGATCCTGAATGTTTTTGTTTAATTCCTTCTTTGTGTTTTCTTGCATTTCCTTAAGGGATTTCTGTGATTCCTCTTTAAGGGCTTCTATCTGTTTACTTGTACTCTCCTGTATTTCTTTAAGGGAGTTACTTAATTCCTTCTTATAATCCTCTATCATCATCATGAGAAGTGATTTTAATTCTGAATCCTGCTTTTCAGGTGTGATGGGGTGTTCTGGGCTTGCTATATTGGGAGAACTGGGTACTGATGATGCCAAGAAACTTTGGTTTCTGTTGCTTATGTTCTTGCGCTTGCCTTTTGCCATCTGGTTAGCTCTAGTGTTGCCTGCCCTCACTGTGTAAGACTGGAGTCTGTATTTCCAGTTATCTTGCTTGTTGCAGAGCTCCTCAGAGTCCAGATGTCTCTGTAGTCTTATGATCCTAATCTTGGTGTCTGCTGCTCTGAGTGCAGTGGCTCCTCTAGGATGACTCAGGAGTCAGTATCTCCACAGGACAGGAGTAGATCAACTCAGTGTCAGCTGCTCTGAGTGCAGTAGCTCCTCGGCTGCTCTGAGTGCAGTGGCTCCTTGGCTGCTCTGAGTGCAGTGGCTTCTCTAGGATGACTCAGGAGTCAGTATCTCCACAGGACAGGAGTAGACCAACTCTGTGTCAGCTGCTCTGAGTGCAGTAGCTCCTCAGCTGCTCTGAGTGCAGTGGCTCCTTGGCTGCTCTGAGTGCAGTGGCTTCTCTAGGATGACTCAGGAGTCAGGATCTCCACAGGACAGGAGCAGACCAACTCTGTGTCTGCCCCAGCCCACCGGACCAGGCAGGGGAGGAAGGGAAGTGGAATTCCGGAGGGGCGGGGTTTGGGTAGCTGCTGTGTCCTGAATGGCCTTGGCTCCCAGATGAATCTCTGGGGCTTAGGGAGTGAGATGGAGTTCTTACCGGCTGCTCTGAGTGCAGTGGTTCCTCTAGGATGACTCAGGAGTCAGGATCTACACAGGACAGGAGCAGACCAACTCTGTGTCTGCCCCAGCCCACCGGACCAGGCAGGGGAGGAAGGGTGCCCTTCTCTTTCTTATCATCAGTTTCTCTTAGAAGTCTCCTCCACCTAGCTGTTGCAGTTTTATACTCTTCGTATATTCTGACTTGTAGTTTTCATTATCAAGTGAATCCAGACATTAACCCATCTCTCTGTTCTGAACTCAACTATATTGGACTACACCAGAATATATCGAATCCTTCTACTTCAGTTCCAATCTGAATTCATCTGTTTACTCTCATTTACATCCAAATCTACTTCTTTCTCAGCCTTAGACACTGAGTTTTCAAATGAGAAATCTGTCACTCTCCTTGCTACCAAATCCAATTAATCACTAGGGAAATTGATTCTGTATCCTAAATCTTAAAGATTTCTCTTTCAGCCTATATCCCTATAGCCTATCTAGCCAAAAACTCACAAGGTTTCCCTGTCTCTAAATCTTGGTTCTTCCACTGTCAGAAACAAAAATTTGAACTTTCAAGAGAAAAAAGTTATAATAAATTCAGTTGTAGATCTTATAAGCTTTTATCTGCCAAATATAAATCAGGGCATTATCGAGTCTACAAAACATAGAAAGATATCTCCTACCAGACTGTGGTAGACCAGTTGATTTTTGTAAGGTGGGAATGAGGAAAAAGAAAAATTGAAAAAGTATAAGGGTTAGCTTTTTGTTTTGTTCTAAGTTAACCCAGGAGACTTCCTTTTTATGCTCAAGACACCAGATAGACTGAAATCTGTTTTTCGGCAAAACAAATGTTGGGACTCTAGTCTCTTCAAGTTTTAGTCTAATTATACAGCATTTACCAGGTGTAACTCCATTTTGGTTTTGTCTAGTCTGTTGGGGCCAAAGGCAGAAGCAATGACCTCCATATGAAGAATTAATCTTTTCACTCAGGTCAAAACCTTTCAGTTCCTATTTCTTTAGTAGAATTTAAATTGCATACCATACTATATAAGGGACTTCATTAACCATCCTCTCTCCTTATTAACCAGTTCCTCTTCTTATACTCAATGTTCCAGTAAACCTAAAACTCTTGGCTTCTCCAATGTGGAAATGGTTTCTCCTATTCTGACCCAATTTGTGTTGTTTCTTTCTCCTGCAATCATATCAAAACTAACTGAATTCTTTTGCACTCAGTGTAAAATGTTCCTTTCTCCTGAGAAGCTCTCCATCCCTGTACTACCTATCCCACAAACCCTTCAAAGCTATTCATAGTGGCTGAGCAACTATAGTAAAGGAACCAATTAGTTCTACTCATCTCTTTTTGTAAAGTTTGTTTCTATCAGTTGTAATACAGGGAGAGTGAGAATTTTTGATTACTTAAGTAATCCCAGACTCTTGTGAAAATAACCAGATAAGGCCAACAGCAAAAAGGAAAGAAGAGTGATGGGAAAAAGCTTTCAATCAATCAAATAACAACAACCCCTAAATAGATTTCCATAGAGAAAAAATTGTGTCAGAAGGCACAGATCTTTACAGTTTAATACATATCTATAATACCAATGAATTACAGTAGCAGATTTCTGATAAAATCCTAATAAAAAATAATCTGATTCTACAGCAAGCAAAATAAAAAATATAATATGAGCTAGAAACTCATGTGGTAGAATGTTCACACAGCAGGCTAGTGGCACTCAATTCTATCTTCAACCCACCACAGAAAGATTTATAAGGTTTATGAAAGTTCCTCAGGTAGGACTCCACCTAACAATAGTATGTATATATTTATATTCTCACACTCATGACTTGCAATCATGATATTTACATTTTTGCATAGATTATTTTAATAATTTTAATTTCTTCAGGATGATTCAATTTATATTTACTAAGCAAGGGTTAAATAATTTAAGGATTATTTTCAGATGAGTTCCCAGTAACATTTTTAGAAGAAAAATGTACTTCTTCAAGAAGACAGAATTTAAAAATAAATTATTCCAATATGAACTTTAAATAACATAATAGTTTATAGACTTGATTCTGATAATACATGTAATATATGTATGAACTTAAACACACATATTTTCTGTAGGAAAGAAAGCAACAGAATAAATACATTTGCATAGGATATAAAACACATTTTAAAGAAATATACACACTGGATTATATAAATGCAAATTCAATAGACTATCAATTAAAATTTTATTACTTAGTAATATATGGTAGGACCAGATTACAAATGATGTGGTTATGGTAGCAAAAGTGACAGGAAAGAATTCAGCAGTCAACATGTTTAATAAATAAAGTGTAGTGATTCATTAAAAATGGTACCTGCAGGATCAAAAATACCAGTACTCCAACTGATCTTTAACTGCAGCCTTGTAGACAACTCCAGCATCACACTATATAGGAGCTACTGTGGAAACTGACAGTTAACTGTGCACAAAATTCAATGGCTCAAAAATATTGTATGGTCTTAAAGGATAATGAGAAATCAGTTTACCATTTTGATATTTTTGTTGCTTTGAATAGCTTCAAAAATTTTTCGTAACTAGGGAGACATAACTGCACTCTAATGAGGTTATATAAGTATGTGATCTGTTTTCTAGTAAATTATTTATTTATATGCATTTTATTGAATTATTTATTGAACTATTCATAGCATTTTATGGAAAAATTAATATGCATTCCCGTCATGTACTTCACTTCAAAATTCAGTCTTCCTCCGGGACTGTATTACTACATAGTGATGTGTCATCTCTGCCATGTACTCTTGAAGCGGAAAGATATTAACAACAAAAAATGTCAGTTTTACTATACCAGACACAAGAATACAAGACACCTAAGACACATATATAAAGATAACTAATTATTTAGGCATTACCTTCAATGGGATTGGTTTCATTTGATTTTCCATTAAGGCAAAGATAGACATCTCCTTTTTCTTGGCTTTAATTAAAATAAAATGGTATTTATTTCATAAAAGGTAACATCAATACTAGGACAAAATGGTTTTTTTCTGGCAAATCTATGCCATGTTTATAATAATTAATGTGTAAAATTACTTATCCTGAGCAAGAATAAAAATAAGAACAGTTTTGAATAAAGAATAACGCTCCTTCATTGTTAAACATTTTTAAAATTCAACCATGGAACAAAATCAGTAAGAGTAGAATTCAGACTTCTGATGTCCACAGCAAACCTGAATACTTTAGACAGAAATAAAACACATGAGTAGATTATACACAACAATAAAAAGCATCAGAAATTGATGCATCCGGGTTTTGTTAAATATAACAAAGGTCCTCAGTCCTTCATGGATGAAGCTAGGAGAACCACATTGAACAGTGTACTGCCAGGAGCAGTAATCACTCAGAAAGGCCACAATGAATTCCTTTTTGGATTAAGCATAGAGGTTTGTTTCTTGCCCCACCCCACCCCCAAACAAAGACATAAAAGATATATTTGGAAATACAAGATGAATCCTGTTTTTATAAATGAATTACGGACACTTCGAAAACTGAAGTCACTTGACTTTTCAGTTTTAGCCCTCCCTCATTGTGAGAAATAAGAGCACACTATCCAGCAAAGCAGCATTATGACATACTATTTACACACCAGTGAAGGCTTTGAGGAAGGCTTTGCAGCATGAGTCAACTGCAGCAAGCTCTAAGAATCAGTCTCTAGTTTGTAATGAAAGTGCTTAGGAGTGAGAACTGCCAGGGTAGCAAGGATCCTCTCACAGTATTAAGGCCTGTCCACATGGGAATGGTCAGTTGAGAATCAGTACAGTGAGCATTGGGTAATGACCCTGGGAACAGCACCCCAGGCTTCTTCAGCATGAGTTTTCTTTTCATTCAAACATTTGTTCTTCCTCTTCATCTGCTTCTTCAATAACCTGAATCTCATCTGCCTGAGGTAAGGAGGCATTATCCACCTGCAGTTTGTTCCCCTCAGCTTTACATTTTTCTTCTTCTTCTATGATTTCCTTCCATATCTTATGGTTTTCAGTGAGGTGGTGCATTAGTTGGCAAAATATTCGCCGCCTACCTTTCCTTCTTTGTGGTTCTGTGAAATTTAAAACAAACATTTATACCAAAGCAAATAAAACCCAATTGCTCATTGAATAAATGCCTACGTACCCACTCTAGTCTAGTTACAAAAGCTCTAAGGTTATAAATATGTTATCCACACTATGGAAACCACATCCTAAGCAGAACAAAGCTCAGCCGAAGCTCTGAGTGATAGGAGCAGTGCTGAAACAAAATAGAGACAAGGTAAGAGAATACTGGGTTAGAAAAGAAGCTGAAATTTAAGATCAAAAGCATAATAATCCAAAGTTAAAAGTCAGTTTGTAATGTCTTAATGTAGTAAATTAAATGTAATTAACAGTATTCTGGAGAATGTTATTTTGAGTCAGTCAACTGACCCCAAGTTGGCATAAGATTCTTCTCTGCCTTGCTAACCCTAAACACAAGGCATTTGTGTCAGAAGTGGGTAGAGGTACTTATACAAGTAGGGCCCACTGAAGAACACTGGCTGGAGGACATCATCAACAGAGAGGTATCTCCACTAAATAAAAACGAAATTCCCATTGTGTTATAGTTCTGATTCTTAGTAATCTTTTTAAAAAATGTCTAGCTAGATATAATTTAAATCTTACTTTAAAATAAAGAGGAAGTGGCATTTCATTAACAGTTTCAAGGACAAGATTTAATTTTCCACTTAATTTCGTTGTCTTATTTAGAAAAATATGTTGCCATATAACTCAATATTAAAACCTTGGTCTGTTCTCAGAGCCAAGGGTCCTATTCTCCTTTTCTCCCCACTGCCTTCATCTCTCTCCTGAGTCCATGTAAGGCCGCTGGGAAGTTGTGCTCCCCAGCTATTCTGATGTTTGAAGGGGGTGGAATGAGGAGTCTAACTGCTAGGACTCACTTCAGAGATGTTCAGATGAGCATTCGCTGGAGGACAGCATCTTGGAAAATGCTCCTTTCATTAAATAAGAGTCTCCACTGTACTACAGAAGTAACACAGTACCCGCAGATAGCACTTAGCCTTATCCTGACTGTTCAACCTGAACACTTAGATAGGAACTCAACATATCTGTACCTAAGATGTAAAAATCTAAATCCAAATTAAATGAACATTTGTAATTAGTAGCAAACAAACAAACAAACAAACAAAAACATAGTTTCCTTACTAGGATTTAGATTGCCTTCTGATTCTTCATCATCTGAATCTAACTCTTCACCATCATCATCATCATCACTTTCTGTATCATCACCCTCTTCTGCTTCTATCCACTGACCAGGCAGCAAGCCAGCAGCATCATAGGAGTTGCACAGGGGCCCCACAATGTGGGTGATAAAAGATTCTTGGAGTTTTGCTAGTTGAGGAGAAGAACGGTCCATGAAGGGACTAATGGGTAGACCCAGGGTTGCTTCTTCATCTCCCTGAGAATTTCAAAAAGAAAAATGCATTTATAGCTATTAGAGATATAGCTGTTAAGGTTTACGATTAATATTATCTTGAGGGTTTTTTCCTTTTATTTATTTTTCTTATTTTGAGAAAAGAACCTCTCTACATAAGCCTGGCTACTCAGGAACTCGCTCTGTAGACCAGGCTGGTCTTGAATTCACAGGAATCCACCTGGCTCTGCCTCCTAAGTCCTGGGATTAAAGGGATGTCCCACCACACCTGGTATCTTGAGATTTTTAAAAACACAGTCTACATCAAAATAATCTTTACACAAAACATGGATGACTCAGTGATTACTGTCAGGATGGAGTGTGGCTTGATGAACATGTCAGCTGATGCTCCTCCATCAGCTACCAGCAGATGGGAGAAGTCACTCTATCTTTTCTTCATTTGAGAACTCTTAAAAATTCATTCTCGTATTCTGTTTATATGAACTAGTACAGTTGATATTTACTGAACAGGGAAGATACATATTTTAAGGTAAATAGTAATAATTTTATTCTCAATCTCCAACATTCTATAATATCAACATTAATAGTTTATAATTAATAAATTCTAAATTATTTGATTTGGGGTAATAAATAATAATTTAATGTGTAATTTGCATCTTTCTATTCTAATTCTCAATGATAATAGGTTACACAGTGTGATATTTTGTAACTTCCAAGGGTGTGCCAAAGACAATGTACCTTTACAATATAACATGAGGTAAATATGCATGACCCAACAAGCTCAACTTCATTATTCCTATTTTCTAAGACAGAGAAATTTTAACTTTGGAAATTATTCATGGCTATTAGGGTCAAGGATTCCAAAGGAATATAGTATAGTGGGTGATATTTGGTATTTTAAAGATGATTAAATTTGTTTTGTAGGATAATCAGCGTTTTTTTTAACATTATGAGGAACCACCCTCTCAAAATGGTACAGACTCTGCAAATGGGTAAGAATCTCTTAAAGCCAAGATTTTAAAACATATAAAAGAATAGTATGTTTATAATTCATCTTAGAAAACCACTTGGAACTTCTGAACTCATGTCTATCCTTTATTTTATGTCAGGACTTCTGCTTCCTTAGATGCTTCTAATGCAAGAACAGTCTTTCTATAACAAATTTGAAAATGTCTTTTGATGATTATGTTCTGATAAGACCATAAAATCCCTTAAAAACTACTTCATTTGGTCCTTCCCCACTTCCTACCAGAAGCCATCAACTGAAAAGCTGAACTTCAGCATCTTTACAACAGTGTTTAAGAACTCTCTTCAGTAGCTTCCTGTCTGGGCTGTTTCATTTTGGGGAGTTACAGAACCTTCAATGTCTCTTATCTCAGGTATGAGTCTGCAGTCATCGAATTACTGGCCATTGGGAGTTTGACCATGCTCCAATGAGTATACTGGCAACACAAATTGTACTTAGTGGGGATTTGGTATTTTATTTTGGGTTTTTTTGTTGTTTTGGTTTTTTTATTTGTTTTGTTGATTGGTTTGTTTAAGGCAAAAGGGTGAGAGAGTGGACCTGGGAGGAATGAGAAGCAAGTGTGATGGGGTGCATTGTATGAAATCTCCAAATAAATAATAAAAATATTATGTTGGAGAAAAAAAACTACTATGTTTGGAAATCAACTGTTTTAAGGGACAGATTCTGAGGTTGAAAGCAACCTTGGAGACCAGAGTCTATCCTTATCTATCCAGCCAAAAGTTTAATCAATTTATTTCAGATAAATGATAAGCTATGTATTTTTGTTTGCTACTTTAAGTGTTAGCACTAGTGGTTAGAGAGATGGTTCAGTGGTTAAAAGCACTAGCTGTTCTTTCAGAGGACCTCAGTTCAATTCACAGAACCCACATGGTGGCTTAGAACCACCTGTAATTCCAGTTCCAGTGGCTCTAAAGCCCTCTTCTGTCCATTACAAGCACCAGGCACACACATGGTGCACAGATATACAGATATAGGCAAAACATCCATAGGCATAAAGTAAATAAAAAATATTAGCAGCGAAGTTAGAACTGAGAAACACTAAGAGCTAAGATCCACACAACATTGAGCCCCTTTCAGGGCAACTCTTATACTTCCTGGAGCAATCGAAGTCCCCAAAGATGCTTTCTTCATATGGCAGCTCTTCAAAATCCCAACAATCTCATGTTTCATCTTACCTGCTCAAAAAATTCATTCACAATGCCTTCTGTCCATCTCAAATGTAGATCTCGCTCTTTGGCTGGGCCGTTGATATCTGCGAGTTTGATGCACACCTGGCAGACTAAGAGGCGATCGTTCTCACTGCTCCATTCTATACCGTTACTGTTTACATCGTTGGCCTATTTTGGACAAACAGAATTGTTTAGGTTCTGAGGACACAGAGTTGCTAACATTTGTTTGTTCTTACCAACTGTCTTAAAATTGTTTTGTTTCCAAATGACAGGGAAAATTTTCAGTAAATGGTTCCTTAAAATCAGAATATACTATAAATATGAACCTATGTGGTAAAATGTCCTACTGAAGTAGTAATAAGATTATCTTTCAAAGGCAGCATAGCTTTTTTTTTTAAAAAAAAAAGCCAACTTTGGTTTCATTATTTGTAATTATCACAGAGAATAATAATGTATATGTATGTGTATCTAGAAATGTAATATATATTAAATATATGTACATATGAATCTATAAATCATAACAATTGTAACTATTTCTACCTAAAAGAAAGGGCACTTAAAATAACTAAGGAAAAATGGGTTATAGCAGCAACAGGTGGTGATACAGTTCAAACACACAAGTCTTAGAAGCTCAACTCATGTCTAAATCTGAACTCACAAGAATATTAACTTAGCATTTAACCTATTCAGGCCCATTTCTTTCTCTATAAAGAAATGGTGGCAATCTTGTCATACAACTCCATAAAGATAAATAAACATTGCCTGGCCAATAATAAAGGCTAATAAGTAAATATTAGATAGTATTATTTAGGTAAGTGAAATTTACATCATTAGTTGGGCACATTTAGTATACTTTTTACTTCCTCTTAGAGGAATCAGCACTTCCTGTTAGCCAAAAATAAAGAAACAGAGTATAGTTCTTTCAAGAACAAAGAAATGATCCTCAATTTTTTTCTACTCCATGGGACATAATGCCATTATCATTGTTGTCAGAGCAGATTAGTGATTCTAGACTCCACAGTGAATGTGAATTCTCTCAGAGGAGGGGCCTTGAGCTGATCTTCCCAATTCCACAGCACAGAAACTAAATACATGTGGCAGTTTTAATAGATATTTTGGGGATGAGGAATGATTTGTCAAACAGAAGAAAAGAGACACTGCTCTTCTGCCAGGTTAGCAGCAGAAAATTACTAATACAAAGGTGTAAAAGGTATGGCAGGGTAGACATAAACTACATCTTACAAACACAAATTTAATCTCATAAAATGTCTGACTTGGCACTGAGTAACTCAAACTTTGCTATAAACACTTTGGATATAATTATTTGATTTATTACTATTTGAAAAAAAACCCACAATAAAATTCATCTATTTATCAAGAGAAAGCATAGCAAGCAACCATATTTTAAGACGTATTGACATAATAATAAAGTTTATTTAAAATAATACAATAATATTATTTAATATCAACTATTTATTCTTACATCATATGTAACGTAATTCCAGCTTAACATTAAAAACCACTTTTCGTCTATAACACTAACAACAATTTCCCTTTTTAAAATCAGGCACTACTTTACATAACAAACCTTGGCATTGAATTCAGCAAGGAAATCAAAATGTTTTTTGAGATCTGTAGCAAGGATTGCTTCTATGACTAAAAAACGAAAACGTTTGAATTCCATGTGATCAAGGTGAAGGAGGAAGTTGTACTCTGGGCGAGAAAGATACAGATTCCAAGCTGATGCAGCATGATGATTTTCTAGAACAGATCTATCATTGTATAAAACTGCCTAAAAAGAATAAAGAAAAATGAGACATGCATCTCACACAGGAGCTTTTATCACTCACAGTCAGAAATAGGTCAGAACAGTGAATACCTACTACAAAATAAGGCATATTACCAGGATTTTAATATCTCTGATGAAAGGTTGTTAAGATTTTAAATATATAGACCAAAGTGCAAAGAGGCTAAGGACACCTATCCTTCTGATGTGCACATCTGAAATAAAATATTTGTCCTCAAATACTCTGCAACACCATGAAGCCTCTCAAGTGATAGGAAAGTGGTATTTTTGAAGTAAATATTCAAGTTGTATAGCTTCTAATAAAAAATCCATTGGGCTACAGAACAGGGTTAGGGTACAACTCTGTTCTATAGCAGCATTAGCGTTAACTAAAGAAGAAATGATGCCCAAGGAAAGCCAGAGACCCACGTGTCTGAGGACATAGTCTGTGCTCCCATCCTGACACAGTGCCTGAGTAAGAAGAGACAAGCATGTAACAGATGCCATCACAAATCTCCTGTATTCAACTGTAGGAGCATGCTTTTTTCTACCTCATAGCAGTGCATAGGGGCATTCAGAACCAGTAGAATATAGAATTTCTAATACTTCTACTAGCTCTAAAAGTGAAATGGCTCAGCAGGTCAGGTGTTTATTATACAAGCCTCACGACCTAGTTCAATCCCTGGAACCTACATAAAGTATAAGTATAAAAATGAGCCCCTGAAATTTGTTTTCCCCCTCCTTACACACATCATACACACAGTAATACTTTTAACACATGTTCACTGAGTATTATCTGGAACCCAGATTGCCAGTGGCTTTAAAAACTCTTGGAGGGCCATAGCAGTAAAATAAAAGATCCTTCAGACTGCCCTTTGAAATTACTAAAAGAAGTAAAAATGAACACAAAAATCAGAATCAATATCAGCATCTACATATAATCCTCCTACTAGAAAAGTTCAAATACACAGGAAAAAGTAAGAACAGATTGTACCAAGCCTAAATCACTGTTGTGTTGTAAACAGCTTTTCTCTGGTGTCATGCTGAGTGCTAAGTCTCTGAAGGAGAAGAAACTCCAAAAATGTAAATGGGGGTGGGTGGAGGTCTGTTCTCTACCTGAGTGCCACCTACTGCATTTCTATATTGAGAACTATTTCCTTTGGAGTACTGATGCCCATACTAGTAACTCATCCTCTCCAGGCAGAACAGGTCTGCTCAGCTTGCTAGATGAGAAGATACACCAAGGCTGTGTATTCTGCAATATACAATTCTCAAAACAAATTTTAGTATCAAGATAATTTTTTGTTTAAATTCTGGAATCTAGTCCTCTGGCAGCCTGTCTCTATCATATCTAATCCATATAATTGTGGGAGTTTCTATGAGGATGTGCTCCCACCATCCTCCCATTCCCACCTCCCTGCTCTCAAATTCCCCAACACTAGGGAATCCAAACTATTGGGTACCAAGGCCCTCCACTTCCACTGATGCCTGACAAGGCCACCCTCAACTACCTATACAAGTGGAGCCATGAGTCCCTCCCTTTGTGTTCTTGGGCTGGAGGTTTTAGAATGGCTACTCCAGCTTGTTTCTTAGGACCATTTGCTTGAAAATTTTTTTCCAGCCTTTTACTCTAAGGTAGTGTCTGTCTTTGTCACTGAGGTGGGTTTCCTGTATGCAGCAAAATGCTGGGTCCTGTTTATGTATCCAGTCCGTTAACCTATGTCTTTTTATTGGGGAATTGAGTCCATTGATGTTAAGAGCTATTAAGGAACAGTGATTGTTGATTCCTGTTATTTTTGCTATTAGAGGTGGAATTAACTTTGTGTAGCTATCTTCTTTTGGATTTGTTGGAAGACGATTACTTTCTTGCTCTTTCTAGGGTATAATTTTCCTCCTTGTATTGGAGCTTCCTCACTAATATCCTTTGTAATGCTGGGTTTGTGGAAAGATATTGTGTAAATTTGGTTTTCTCATGGAATATCTTGGTTTCTCCATCTATGGTAATTGAGAGTTTTGCTGGGTATAGTAGCCTGGGCTGGCATTTGTGTTCTCTTAGGGTCTGTATGACATCTCTCCAGGATCTTCTCACCTACTCGAACCTCTGATGTCCTGGAATCTCAGCTGGATGCAGTGAAGACACAAACATCAGAGGCTTATCAATTTACTCTTCCCCCAGCCCCTCTTCTAATATCTCAATGCCCGTAACCAGCTTGAAGAAGTTAATGAAGAGTCAGTGCCCCTATTCTCTGGCTTGGGGACTGAGGTGGTTAATATTGGGCTGTCTTTCTAGGGAAAAGTAGTGGTTTTGTTGAAACAGGGAGGAATAGCTAGGATTTATTGGTATTGGTAACCTATTGGTAGAAATCTGTATAATCATTATTAAGCTGAAGTTATAATTTCTCAAATGGTACAAAATTTACTTTGATTTCAAATTTAAGGTTTTCATTAGTACAAGTTTCTTATTTATATAAAAGTGAGATTAATATTGTTACTCTTATAGGCATTGTGCCTATATAACACATTTAGGAATACAAGGCTTAGACTCAGTCCTTCTTTAACTTTTTTAACTGATTTGAGATGGTTAGCCTGTGAGTTAAGGGCCTACAGAAAATTCATGGTTCTGAGTTTACTGTTAGGGTGTTTTCTATATTTTATTTAGAAATAGCTGAGAGGAGTTAACAGACAACAGTCCAGATTGCCTTACATGGATAGTTGGTTTTCAAAACATCAGAAGTCCACAGAATTGATATTACAAACATTTCTGTATTAAGATTCATTTTGATTAGAGACCTGTCTGCTCCTAACAGCTTCCTGTCTTGGATTCTAAGAAGAAATTGAGCATCTCTGGAGTTACTCCAGTTGTGGTGAGACAGCCACTAGGCAAGAATTGCCTCTTTTCATCTACAGACAAATTACTGTCCTGAAAAGGACACACTTGCAGAATAGTCGTCTGATTATATCTGCCAAAACAGAGTAATCAGCCCTTAATAATTCTGCATCACTAGGTCTGTCAGATGATCCTGGGCCAGAAGACTGAAGATCAGATGCTCCAACATTTTGTAGTATAGTGACTGTCCAGGTGTTCAGTGGTCTCTATAAATTGGCTAATTTTTAGAAGCTATGGTTTGTGTTTCCCATAATTTCAGTTAATTCAGTCGTTCTGGATTTCTGACAGGGTTGAAGAATTATAGTCTCAAAGCCAAAAAAGTCCCAAAGCCATCCTGGCTCTTTATTTTGAGAGAAAAGATTTGAGAGGATGGTTTTCAGCTGACATTCATTCTAAAGCCAAGAAAAAAAGCCAGGTTCAGAACTAAGTCTTTTGTAAGGAGAGATGACAGAGGTTCTGGTTAGTCAACAAAATGATGGACTGGGTATTAGGTCTATCTTGTACCTTACTGATACAAATTGGTTATAGTTATGCTCTAATTGTATTTTGAGAGAAAAGTTTTATTTTAACAGGAAGGGTGATATGTAGGAAGAACTAAGGTGGGAGGAGTAAGGAGAGGCAGAGGAGGAGTAAGGGGAGGAGGAGCTAGGACAGGAGAGGGGCGGAAGAGAACATGGAGGCAGATGTTCTCGTGTCTCCACCAGTCAAAAATAGTTGGTATATCTAGGTTGAGTATTGGGTTACACTTCTGATTGTATGGGCATCTTGTTATTGAGAATTACCAAACTTATAAAGCCTGTGATTAACATGTTTAAAAAGTTACTAATAAAAGTGTGTCATCAAAAAAAAAAAAGGAAGAAAGAAAGAAATGAATCTTCTGCCTGAAGGTGCAGGACTTAAGTACTGGGGATGCATTAGAAAGGACTGTTGGATGCCAGTTCTTCCTGTCTTTTTCACATGCTAATTTCCTTAACACAGGAGTTTTGCTTCATTACACACTCCTCACCATGAGTTACATCCACACAGACCCAAAAGCAATGTGACCCACTGACCTTGTAAATAGAAACTTCTAAAATAATAAGCCAAAATAAACCATTCCTTTAAAAATGATTATTGCTTTACGTATTTTTATCAGAGTAACAAAAATTTTTTAGAAACATCCTTTTAATATGTTGTCTCTTTTTACCCTTAATATCACAATTTTTTGCTCCAGTGGAAAACTTTGTATGTTATACACACTTATTAATGTGAATGGGTAAACATGTGCCTGCAAATGCATGTGAAAGCCAGAAGTTGATAGCATCTTTTCTTGATCACTTTCTATCTTTATTTTTGTTGACAGTCCCTCAATGATAGCTCTGAAGCTCATTGTTTGGATAAACCAGCTAGTCAGTGGATTTCAGGGGCACCTCACTAGCCCTCCTTTGCCCAGTTCTGGAGTTTAAGAACATGGCCACTGTTGTCCAGCTTCTTAACATGAGTCCTAAAGATCTTCACTTAGTTCCTCATGATTTGGACACAGACACTTTCAAGAGGTGAGCACTTTCCCAGGCCCAGAGGGATAAACTTCTATCTTCATTCACATAGCTTGGGAAAAAGTGGGCAACCCGAAATCAAACACAAGCCTCCTGGTATCAGATCTAGTGCTTTTTCCAAAGAATTGTGATTTACCAAATAAGTAAGTCAATGAAAGACATGTGGAGGTTAGCCTCTGAATTTGTAGAATGCATATGGGTAACCTCGGGCAGGTAGTTTCTCCCAAATAACACTTACAAAATGAATAAATCTCATGCTTATATTCTATCTCTCTCTCTCTCTCTCTCTCTCTCTCTCTCTCTCTCTCTCTCTCTCTCTCTCTCTC